CCCTGCACCTGGAACCAAGTCAATGTGAAACTCCATCTCCCTAACAGGAGGCAACCCAGGCACCTCATTCGGGAACACCTCAGCAAAATCCTGCACCACATCAATTTCAGCAATGACCTTCTCGGTCTCAACACTCAAGGTAGTAAGTAGAAGACAACACTCTGCTCCATCGCTCAGCAATGACTCAACTTGGCCAGCTGAAATCAACAGCTCATCCTCCACCTGAGGAAAAATTAGCCTCCTATTGGCACAATCTATAAGGATGCGATTGGCAGACAACCAATCCATCCCTAAGATTATGTCAATATCCACCAAAGGTAAACAAATCAAGTTCACCTTATACTTCTTCTCATTCACAACAATTGGACAGCCAGCACATAGCTCAGAAGCAACTACTGAAGCAGAAGCGGGCGTCGACACTAACAGTCTCAACCCCAAATCACACACAGGCACACCCAGCATAGCAGCACAAGCATATGATATAAATGAATGAGAAGTACCAGAATCAAAAAGGATCATCACATCCTTACCAGTAGCTCTACCCTTCCCCTTCACAAGATCTGAGGAAGTAGAAGCTTCAGCCCCAGTCAAAGCAAAGACTCTACCAGCTGTAGTGGGTCTGCTACCCCTCTGAGTATCACCTCTCTGGGCACCACCCCTCTGAGCATCACCCCTCTCTGGTTTGTCCCTTGCAGGACAGTTGGTCGACTCATGGCCCATCTGATGGCATCGAAAACAACGACTCTCAGTGTGTGGACAATCCCTGACAACGTGGGGTCCAGCACACCTATAACATCTCAGAGTGGCACCTCCACCCTGTCTCCCTCCACCAGCAGCACCAAAAGGTTGTCTAATGACAGGACCCCCTGTTGTGGTTGGGGCCTATCATACGGCTTCCTCTAATTCCCTCCTTTCTTGGACCCAGCTGGTCCTTCAGCAGTCTTCACTCCACGGTTACCACCTTCCAACCGCTCAACAACCTTCGCCTTCTCCACTAAGGCTGGAAACTCAGTGATGGCCATAGGCACCACTACCCTCTTCAGCTCATATTTCAGACCCTCAGCAAACTTCCGGCATTTCCAGGCCTCAGCTATACCTTGCGAATAGAAACGAGGCAGGTGCTCGAATCTCATCGCATACTCAGAAACTGTCATCCCTCCTTGGTGTAACCGCATGAACTCAGCTTCCTTGGCATGCCTCACACTCTCAGGGAAATACTTCTCCAAGAACACCCTCCTGAAGCATTCCCAGTCAACAACCACTCCTCTAGCGGTTAGCATGTGATGGGTACCCCTCTACCAATGCTCGGCCTCCCCAACCAGCATGTACACAGCATATGCCAGCCTCCTTTCTTGAGAACATCCCAGCATGATAAAGATTTTCTCCAGCTCATAAATCTAGTGGTCAACCACTTATGGATCTGCATCTCCCTTGAATTGAGGAGGATGGCACTTCCGGAACTCAGCTAGGTCCCGACTCTCCTGTGACCCCGTGGGCCTTGCTGCACCAGCTGCAGCTCTATCAGCCTCCGCTCTAGCAAAATAGGGATTTTGCTGTTGCATAGCCATAGCCATCATCTTCATGGCTCGGGTTATCTGCTCGTTGGTTCTAGTCATTATCTACAAAAGTAACAGCATCTTTAGTATACAATAACTAAATCAAACCACAATCAACAACACAACAAAACATTACAGCAATCAGCACAGCAAACAACACAGCAAGACAACACAACACAGAGCTCAACACAACAAAGCCTAAAGGAACCACCCCCACAGAGGGTCCACTAGACTCGAACTGCTCTGATACCACTAAAGTGTAACGACCCAGCTAGTCACTACACTCGGCATAGCATACTAGAAACACCACACAGAAAGGAACAAGTGTATACATATAGGGTCTAGAATATATACATATACATGATCCAAATCTGGATAGAGTTAAAATGTACAAGATACATCCAAGGCTACTACACTAAGTAGCTAAAACAGCAAAAGATCCTAAAAGACCAGCTCCGTCTGTCAGCTACAGACTCACCATCAGCCACCAACCTATCCCTGCTCTGCTCCCATACATAGTATGATCATTGCAGTCCAAACATCATGGAGACAACAAAGGGTAAGTTAGTGAAAAGAAATCAATATACATATATGGCAATATGATAGAAAATAGCTACAGCTATCAGCACACCAGAACAACTTATACTACACCACAACATTCAACAATCAGCACTGCTTGGCAGCAATAACAACACCACAATAGTGGCTAATAACAGCACCGACATAGCGGCTATAACAGCACCATAATAATGGTTAATAACAGCACCGACATAGCGACTATAACAACACCACAATAGTGGCTAATAACAGCATCGACATAGCGACTATAACAACACCACAATAGTGGCTAATAATCATCATACAGCTCAGCAAACACAGCTCACAACACAGCACAGCAAATCAGCATTTTAAAAATCATCAATTACAGCCCAGCTCAGCACAACAATATACATCTATTTCAGCTTAACATCATATATCAGCATTTTCATCTAAACAGCACAACATATTCATTGGTTTTAGCTCATCTCAGCATAAAGCAGCATTTTCAACAAATTTCAGCATATAACACCTCATCCTCATACGCGCTCGGCGCACTCATGGTCGTGCCCGGCGTGGCACGACCAGAGAGCACCAAGGGCCAGCGCGCCTGGCGCAAGAGTGCTCGCGCCCGGCATGACCAGCTGCAGCTCTATCAGCCTCCGCTCTAGCAAAATAGGGATTTTGCTGTTGCATAGCCATAGCCATCATCTTCATGGCTCGGGTTATCTGCTCGTTGGTTCTAGTCATTATCTACAAAAGTAACAGCATCTTTAGTATACAATAACTAAATCAAACCACAATCAACAACACAACAAAACATTACAGCAATCAGCACAGCAAACAACACAGCAAGACAACACAACACAGAGCTCAACACAACAAAGCCTAAAGGAAGCACCCCCACAGAGGGTCCACTAGACTCGAACTGCTCTGATACCACTAAAGTGTAACGACCCAGCTAGTCACTACACTCGGCATAGCATACTAGAAACACCACACAGAAAGGAACAAGTGTATACATATAGGGTCTAGAATATATACATATACATGATCCAAATCTGGATAGAGTTAAAATGTACAAGATACATCCAAGGCTACTACACTAAGTAGCTAAAACAGCAAAAGATCCTAAAAGACCAGCTCCGTCTGTCAGCTACAGACTCACCATCAGCCACCAACCTATCCCTGCTCTGCTCCCATACATAGTATGATCATTGCAGTCCAAACATCATGGAGACAACAAAGGGTAAGTTAGTGAAAAGAAATCAATATACATATATGGCAATATGATAGAAAATAGCTACAGCTATCAGCACACCAGAACAACTTATACTACACCACAACATTCAACAATCAGCACTGCTTGGCAGCAATAACAACACCACAATAGTGGCTAATAACAGCACCGACATAGCGGCTATAACAGCACCATAATAATGGTTAATAACAGCACCGACATAGCGACTATAACAACACCACAATAGTGGCTAATAACAGCATCGACATAGCGACTATAACAACACCACAATAGTGGCTAATAATCATCATACAGCTCAGCAAACACAGCTCACAACACAGCACAGCAAATCAGCATTTTAAAAATCATCAATTACAGCCCAGCTCAGCACAACAATATACATCTATTTCAGCTTAACATCATATATCAGCATTTTCATCTAAACAGCACAACATATTCATTGGTTTTAGCTCATCTCAGCATAAAGCAGCATTTTCAACAAATTTCAGCATATAACACCTCATCCTCATACGCGCTCGGCGCACTCATGGTCGTGCCCGGCGTGGCACGACCAGAGAGCACCAAGGGCCAGCGCGCCTGGCGCAAGAGTGCTCGCGCCCGGCATGACCTAGCCAGAGAGCCCAAGGCTCTCACGCGCCTGGCGCAATTCAGCTTTGCGCCCAGCGCACGTCCAGGCAGAGACTCTAAAGAGTCTCACGCGCTCAGCGTGGCCTAACCCGCGCCCAGCGTGGGTAAGGCAGAGACCTACCAAGGTCTCGCGCCCGGTGCAATTCGTGTTGCGCCCAGCGCCCCTCTGGCAGAGACTCCCAAGGAGCCTCCGCGCCCAGCGAGTCCAAATGTGCGCCTAGCGCGACACTAGAACACCCAAAACATGTCACCATTGATATCGAGTCCGGCGCAGCTCAAGTCACGCCCGGCATGGGCCAACCAGAGGCTCCCATTCTCAAGCTCGCCCGGCGGGCTTGCCTAAACAGAGCCCCCTGGTGGTCACGCGCCCGACGCGAAGAACAGCGCCCAGCGTGAAGCTCAGCAGCAACTTTTCCAAGTTCGAAAATTTGCCCAAAACCTGCAAAAATCAACAGAAAACCAGCATGCAATCCAGCCAAAAGTCTCCATTTTCATCAAACATCAATAAAAACGTCTCATTTTCAACATGCAAACACAATTCATTAAAAACCCCAAAATTTCTTCAAACCCCGAAATTCCCTAAAAACCCCATGTTCACCAAATCAACCAAGAACCATCAATCATCAGCAATCACAATGAGATCCTAGACTCATTTCAGCCAAAACGCAGCAAAACTAACTTTCCTTACCTCGGTGAAGAAATCCGAGCTTCCGGGAAGGAGAAATGATGAAGAAGAAGAAGAAGAGAAGCCTTGAAGCGGAAGGAGAAGAACCAGCTCAAGGATTCAGCTTACACCCCACTTGTTCCTTCAGTCGCCAAGAATCACCACACGAAAAGGAGGGGAAAAGAGAAGTGAGTGTTTTTAGAGTGAAAGAGAGTTAGAGTAAGTGAGGGAAGAAAAAGAGGGAAAAGGGTTTTACACAATTAATGTTCCAAAATAGTTTTTGTAGTAGCAGAAAATTCGGTAAGTGCTATATTTCTACGTGTATGTTTTCTTCAAATAAAAATAAGATATCTACCTTGCATGAGAAGCCACATTGGAGACTCGGTGACAAAGACATAAGCAATGAGAGAATAACAAATAGCTGGAACCGAGGTCCACACATAAAGATACTTCCATGACAAATGTCTGTTGAGATAAGCTATACCAGGCAACGACATGTAACTATAACATATAAACAAAGTTCCATTATTATAGTTGAGTGCTAAACAAGAATTTATAAGTATATACAAAGTTTTTATTGGGATGTTGATCTAATATTTTTAGATCCGATTCTTGTTTTGTTAAAATAATATTTGACTGATAATAATCACATTTGTAAGTACATATTAATATTTAATTATTATTATTTTATTATTATATACTTTATATTATGTAAATTTTATTTTATCAAAAATTAAATTTTTTTAAAAAATTAATTCATCATTAATGAGTATTCTTTATTATATATAATAACTAACTTCATTTAAAAGTTTGATAAATATTAAATAAATGAACAATTCTTTTAAATTTATATTTTATACATATGATAATTTAAATATATATATTTATTTTATTATAATATAACTTTTATTTTTAAAAATATATTATTATTTTTTGGATATTTATATATACACGTGCGTGTGTAAAATGGTAGTTTAAACATGTGCTCCCACTCTTTTTTGCATGGATCCAATCCTTACACTTAGGGACTTTTTTTTAATATATTTTTTAATTACAATTATTTGAAAAAAATTAATTTTTTATCTTTGTGCGAGATATTTTTAAGAACTATTCTTTATGAAAACATTTTAATTTTTTTAACTTTTTATTAATTTAATTTTTTATTTATGAATTAAATTTAATATATTTTTTTAAAATCAACTCTTCTATATACATTAACTATGAATGTCTACCATGTTTAAGAAGTAAGAACATTGAAATTATTTCTTATATATTTAAAGATTTTTACAACTTCTTTTATAATTTATTTTTTTATTTATTTATGAATTAAATTTTAAAATTTTAAAATATATTATCAATAATTAAAAATAGACTTATGTCATAGTATAAATTTTTATTTGAAATATAAGGAAAATTATTTATCTGAAATATAAAATATAATATCAATGTTGAAAAACATCTTTGGACTTTAATTTTAAATATAATTTATATATTCAATATAATATTTATTTATATATAATTTATTATAAATTTTATTTATATATAATGGACATTTGGTCTATAAAATAAACATACTAAAATACCAGTTAAAAGTAAAGATACGTATTTTTAATAAAAAAATAAAAAGTTAAAATGATAGAAAATTATAACAAAAATGGAAAGTAGCCGCATAATACATGTGGTAGTATTTTTTATTAAAAATTAATTCCAATATTCTGCTTATTCATTGCGAACCAAAATTTTGTTTGCTAAAGTATTTTAATGGCAAAGCTTCTAACTATTTTTTAAAATTATTTTTTCATTTTTTTGAGTGATCGAAGTATGATCTATAAACAAAGATTATTTAAAAATGAATTTTAATATAATTATAGTAATTATTTCAATTACTTTTTTTTATTGAATTTTATTATTAATCTCGATTTATTATGACACTACATCTAATAATAAAGAAAAGATGAAAGAAACGGCATAATACATGTAACAGTATTTATAGCAACACACTCTTTGATATACCTCACTCACATTAATTATATAATTCATTAAAATCTATAAAATTAAGAGAAAAAACGTTAACTACCGTAAGATCCAAAATTTATATTTTACAATAAATTTTAATTAATTATAGAGAATATTTAAAAGAGTGTGTAAAAATTATGTTGTTGGCAATTTTTTTTTTAATTATTTGTAGGTGTATAATGAAGACAATAATTTTCTAAAGGAGATATTTCCTTCTCCAACTCTACCAATAAACGATTCTATTGTCCTAAAGTATAGAAATATCTCTACGGAGGGTCAAGGTCATAACAATGGCAAGGTCAGTAAGGTCACTATTTTGGGTCCCTTCAATTTCTTTTATATATTATTTTAAAAAATTATTTTCATATAAATTATTAATGCTACTTTTATATATTAAATTTATTTATTTATTTATATAATTAACTTATTTAAATAAATATCAAAATATGAAATCGATTTAAATTTTTTACATCAATCTTAATAAATGAAAATTTAAAAGAAAAATAAATTGAAAAATAAAATATTATATTATATTAATTTAAAATAAATTTAAGTTTTAGTGAGCATTAATTTAGTATTAGTGATATTGATTTGTTTTTTAAATTGAAAATATTAAAATAAATACTAAAAAACAAATTAATGCCTTATTTAAAAAATGAAACTATATTAAAATACTATTTTTTTTACATGCATGCAATGGTTATAAAATAAGTATTAGAAATATTTGAAATTATAATCATTTTGTCAAAATAACTTTTTAAAATTGAATTAAGATAAAATATATATTTTACAATATAATGACCAAATGAATTATCATTAAATAAACTGTTAAAATTATTTGATTATTAAATCTTAATTTCTAAATTTATATTGTTTAAAAAGTTAGAAAAATAAAATAAATATGATAAATTATATTAAAACATGACTCAGAGTAAAATTAACAAAATGTGACATGATTAATATATAATTTTGTCTCTTAAATATGTGATTAAAAGTTTGATCTTCGATCAATATGTATAAAAAAATATTTATTAACAGATATTAATTTCTTAAATGAATTTAGTACCTAGGAGAATTATTCCTCAGCTTTAACCGATAGATATGTCTTTATTTTTTAAAAAAATAACTCGTAAATTTTGCTTATTTCAAATATTTTTTAAACACGCCCTAGTTAGGGTAAGCTATATATACTTGCCAATTTTCAAGTATTGGTGCATCAGAAATGTTATTGATTAGTAGAAATGAGAAAATGTATCCAACAGGATGGCAACCCAATATCAAACCCTATGCATTTTTAATGAAAAAAAAATGAAAAGACAGGTATAAGATACTTCTTACTTCTGACCTAAACTATTTTAGGTACATAAGCTAAATTTAGAATACTTGAAAGACCCATTCAGGGTATTATATGTTACAATAATTGAGTTAATTCAAATGTGCCATCAAAGCTGTAGATCCTCGAATGAAGACATTTCTTGTTGAAGTATTATCAATCAATGCAGTTTGCTGCACATACTCTGGAGGCTTCAACTGAGTTGAAAGTAGCAAGTCTGCCATTATATCTGGATTTCATCAAAGTGATTATCAACTTGATGCACCTGTTCAATTTGAAGTTTGAATGAAAAATCAAGTAATGTTCCCTTTCTAGTTTCATTAATGAGCCCGAAGACAGATAAATAAAAAGAGGGGTAATTATAATAGAAGCGAGAAATCAACTTAACTATACTATTTTGCTTTAGTTTAAAAAGATTTATAAAAACTAAAAAGGAAAGTATTTGGAAACAATCTTAGGAAATATCAATGCCCAACTTCCTCGAAATCTTAAATTGTTAGGTGAAAGCTTATGAATGATTTTATGTCTCTTACACACTACCTCATTATACAAACGTTTGGGGTTGGGCTTGGAATCGTGGATCACACTCAAGTTTACTCTACTTTATGATGAAACTTGGAGCCTGTTTCATTTGAAAAACTATTTATATTATTATTTTTTGATTTTACAAATAATTACAAAAATAACACTTTATTTCCTATTCCAAAGACACACACCAATATAAAATAATTCATTGTTTCCTGAACAAATATTTGAATACAGAAAATGAAATATACAAGAAGTGTCATTTTTATAATTATTTGTGAACAAAATATTTTATCAAACCAAATAAGCCCTTAACTTCTCTCTTAGGGGAAAAAGGCAGAAGAATGTGTGCACTTAGAATTGAACTCCTGACTTGGCCATAAAAGCTATGATATCATGTCAATAGTAACATCCATAAATGTGAACTTAGTGTTAGGATAGAGGGCGTTTGATAACGAAAACTTGTTAGTATCTTGAGAATCTGACGTCAAGAATAATCATTTTATGTGTTTGATTTGTTATTTAAAAAATAATATTCTTGAAAAATATTTTTTTTGGGAATGATTTTTGCACAAGTTTTTAATAGAAATAGTTTAATGGGAAGGTGAGAAACTAACTTTTCCAAGGTTAAAATAAATTTTTTAATGTGATAAAAACGTCATGTTACTTTTATTTACTTTTTTTTTTTGAAGCAATTTATTTACTTATTTAATACAATAAACATCCTTGATTCTCATGTAACATTTATAAACATACCAACCAAATGGATTTTCATTACTCCTGAGAATTGTGATTTTTAGAATTTACGATTCTCATGAATGATAATTTCTAGGTATGAAAAAGTTTACCTGTGTACCAAAAGCCTTCTAAGAAGACATAAGTTTGATTCTCGTTACCACAATCTATTCTACTGATACAAAAAATAATAATAACATCCCATAAACTTAAGCCATTAAGTGAATATGATTTAATATCTCTAACAAATTTTTTTAAGGAATTCAAACTTTGCAGCGATACCACTAATTTTATGTAAATAGAAACCTCATTAGGATGTGTTTTAGTACACAGTTTAATTACATAATCAATAAACTCTTATAAAATGAGAGCTTATTATAAACTTGACTACGAAGCTTATTCAAAAAAGTTAAAAAAAAAAAAAAAAAAAAAACTTATTTTGATATTCTTTTTCATGATGCTTACTTAAAATAAGTTGATAACAGCTTACAGGAAGGTCATAAGCTACTTTTATAAGATAAGTTTTGTACTAGCTGTTCAATAACCAAATCTCCCTTTCGATAAAAAAAAATAAATTTCTGCTATGAAAAGTAGACAACAGCTTTTTAAGGCAATAGTTAATAATAAAAAAGAAAGAACAAGATTTACCAGAAAGAGTCTCTCATGTCATCATGCTCTTATTCATCGTTTCGCACATTTTGCCCTTCAACATCAGTGCATTGAACACTGATAGAAACTTCTCCAGAGACATTTTGATGGACAGTGGTTTCAAGTTGCCTAGTAGATCTAGACTCAGAGAACGCCATGGCTTGTGTTTCTTCATTGCTCTGTGGCTGTTTCAGTTGTCAGTATGTGTCGTGCATGATCAATGATCTAAAGAGTACAGTGCTAAATTTAATTATTGAGAATAACACCATATCTAATGTCATCAAATCCTAAACCTTTGAATGGTCGTGTGTCTGAATTTGTGCAATTTGGTGCTTCTCACATTCGTACTAAATAGGATAGTTATTAATCAATTACATGCCTATGTGAAATACTATGTATGACACGAGTAGTAGCTTGCAAACGCTCCTTCACCAACAGTTATCAACTAAGTAATTGTAAATTCATTGTATGTCAGAATTCAATAAATTCATTGTAGATAAAACTAAAAGACCTATAAAAAATTAAAGTTACTAAGATGTACCTGTATATATGGTGTCTGTGTTGAAGATTTAGCAGTGGTTAGTAGGGAGAAGCGGCAGAGAGGGCAGGTGGTGTGGGTGGCAAGCCAAAGATCAATGCAGCTCATATGAAACGTATGGCCACATGCAGGTATCTGTTGCAGCCTATCCTCTGCTTGGTACTCCAAAAGGCACACTGAGCATCTGCAAAAAACCATCTCATACATTAACAAAACCAAAGAGAACACAGTTTTCCAGTCGAACAAATGAAGCACAAAATTATAACAAAGCAAGTTCTAAAGCAGTATTTGGGGAAAAAAAATAAAAATTAACACAGTTGACAGTTCCTGACATCAGCTGCAATCAACTCCAGAACACAGCAACTTTGTCCTGTCCTAAATCAAGTATTTACTCTATAACATTAACAATATCAGAGCCGTTAACAATACCAGAGCCAATAATGGTGTGACTAAAATAGTATATATAAGGGAATAATTCACCCATGAATTAGCTTTTAAGGTTAAATTAAGACCAAAATTCTAAGATAATATCAAATCCTATTTTAATAATTGCTATTGGCCTTGTTAGGCCACCAAAAGATTTCAAATCCTTAGTGTAAGAGGATTTGGACTAAAATAAAATAGTGTATTCAAGTGGGAGTTGATTAGTTAGCTTTTGGTGGGCTCAAATATAAATTCGAAGATAATACTTGTCTAGTAGGTTTATGGAACTAGCCATTATCAAATCAACAGTATATATTTAGCCCTCAAAACTAAATGGAATGGGTTACAAACCTCACATTATCTAGTGATAAAAAATTATAAGTATACAAATTGACAGCCTTTTAGTACATGAATTTATTAACTTCTATGTACTGTATTAAAAAAAAAAATATATACATCACACTATTAGATATTGTAAAAAAAAAAAAAAAAAAAAAAGGTATTGATAATATGATTATTAGGTTTTTGGATGAATATAATATCTAACAGTGGAATGCATATATTTTTAAACTTTTGTAACTCTTGAAAAACACATAGAAGGTAATGTAATTATGTACTAAAGGCCATAAAAGAGAATTGAAAAGAGAATTGCAAGTAACCCACTCTAACACATTCTCTGGTTAATAATAAAAATTTATTAGAAATAGAAAATTTTGTAATTCTTAGTTCTTATTTAATGAACTGCATTTATAAATTTCAATGAATAATGGAGAGTATGTTGTAAGTGTGAAAGAGATTGTATAACTAGCCTTGTTTTAGCTCAGATAATGTGTATAACGAGGAAGCTCCTTCTTCTGAAAAGTTAGCTTTGGGGAGTGATTGAGTTAATCTAAAAAAAGGGGACCATAAGATGAAGATTGTGTTTTGTAAAAAATGATAAGATGGATTGTCAAGAGTTGTGGATAGTCGATGTGGGATTTGTGAGAAAAGGAAAAGAAGCGAGTGAGGAAGAATAAAAGAAATAAAGAGAACTCACTGAGTATCTTTGACAGAGAAGCTTTCCTTGAAGACAATAACGGGGAGCATCTCCCTGAGATCTTTGTGCAAGCCAGTGGAGATGGCATTGGCATTGTGGTTGTGTGTGAGTGTGACCCAATGGAGCCTTCGGGGTCGGAGGTAGAAGAGGTAGAAGAGAAAGAGGAGAATGAGAGTGAAGAAGATTGGAACGCAGAAGATGAAGGCTCTGTACAGCTTCAGTTCAGCTGTGCCTGAGGCCTCAGATCTACACCCACACGAAGCTTCTGACTCCCAACACGAACACGGATACCCTTCCGACATCACTATTCACTATTCACTATTCACTATTCACTATTCACTATTCACTATAACATTCCACACCCACACCCAATCCAACTCATAACACAAACTCACACTTTAATCAATGTACCGCACAAAATTCTATTGCCACTTTAAGTATGCGCAGTGACGTGACTAGTCACAATTATGCGGAAACCATTTACGATAAAAGTAAAAGATAAATTCTTATATAGAAAAACAAAAACAAAAATGTAAAGAAATATTCATCTGCTAAACATTTTTTTAAAAAAAATTCTCTTTCCTAATAAGCAAGTTATGTGGATAATGTGAGTAAAAAAATTGAAAAAACTTTAACCCAAAAACCAAATAAAACACGTAGCATTTCGAAAAGCAAGGGAGATGTGTGGGGCTTCCAAAAAGAACTCTTTTTGAGAAGAGTTGATGGCCCAATCTTAGATGCAGGCCTTGTGACTATTACTGAAAATGGAAATGGAGGTGAAAGATGATGAAAAGTTACCATTCTTGGACTCCGTAACATTGGAAATGCGGAGTAGGCATAAGCGAAGTGATAACATGGATTCCAACTTAGGTGAAGACCACGAAATCATGGCTAAACGATCAATTTGGTGTAGTTTTACAAACTATTTATTAAAATGGGGTTGTTTTAAAACATATTACACCTTTGGGGGCTATTTTCTTAGGTGTCGCTATGGGCCATAGCGACACCCATGACATGTGACCTTTTTTTTTTTGTCTTGGTTAGGCTGGGATGAGCCACATGAGTGTCGCTATGGGCTGAACCACCACAGTTGATGGACTAAGAAAAATAATGTTGCCCATAACGACACTCTGTAAAAAAAAAAAAAACGAGAATAATAGAAATGTAGAATAAAAATAATAAACTGAAGTATTCATTATATATTTATAAAAAGAAATTTAAGATTTATAAAAATGTAATTTTAAATTAAATTATAAGGAATTTTTTTAGAGATGCGCTATGGGCCATAGCGCCTCAGTCGCGCTATGGGCCATAGCGCCCCAGGTTTTTTTTTTTTTTTTTTTCGTTTTTAAAATATTTTCACATTATATTACTAAATTTTTAAAAATTATATTTTTTCTTATTTCAATTCTTTTTTCCGCTTTTATCTGAAATTTTTTTATAAATTATTTTACAAATTTTATATTTAAAAAATATTATATATAATTTTAGGACAGGCGCTATGGCCCATAGCGCCTCAGTGGAGCTATGGGCCATAGCGCCCCAGGTATTTTTTTTTTCGTTTTTAAAATATTTTGCACATTATATTACTAAATTTTTAAAAATTAAATTTTTTCTTATTTCAATTCTTTTTTTCGATTTTATCCGAATTTTTTTATAAATTATTTAACAAATTTTATATTTAAAAAAAATTTAAAAAAAATTTAAAAAAAGGCTCCATGGCCCATAGCGACTTCAATTTTTTAAAAATTTTATTAAATAATTTATGTAGATGTTGCTATAGGTGATGGAGACTCTTGTAGTATATATCCCCCCCTCCGTTATGGTAAATCACATTGATATCTGAAGTGCAATTGTTGTTTTTGTTATTGTATTTGTTATTTATCCACTAAGTCAGTCTGGTTGGTTCTTTGTTCCTGTTAATATGAGTTTTAGATTCTTATTTATGATTGTTATTTTTTGTAGTTTAAATAAGTTCTATGTATTTGTACTAATGCAACTTTAACAACATATCACATATTCAACACATATTTGGCATAACTACTCATTTAGTACCTATACACAACTACACAACTCCACAACTCAACTACAACATGTATCTCATTTACATCCCATCTTCATCACAAAAGCATCACCAAACATCATCATTAATCAATATTATCAACACAGCATTTTCATTACATAACACAACTCACACTACATGTTTACAACCCATCTATCATGCCAACTTACCCACCCAAACAACACCAGTCAACCTAAGCACATAAAACAACTTTCAACTTAACCAAATCACTCCTTGTGAAATGGCAACTTTCACATAAAATAGAGTATCAGGAGTTATACTACTCTTATCATTCTCATTCTCATATCATATGAAAGATAATAAGATTTCCTACAACTCTCATGAAGACAACAAGTCCTAATTCCTTCATCTACATTGTTAAAAATTCTAAAAACCACAAAAGCTATAACCAATGCTGGCAGCTTGACCCCTCTTCACTAAAACAACCATATTTGGAGTTCTAGAACTCCTTTTTGGGTGATTCCGGTGCCATTGGAAATCTAACATCAAAGGATACAACTTTTATGAAGACCTTAAGACTAAAATCGGTCATCCAGCCCCAGCGCTGCAGCGCTCAATCCAGCACTTTAGCTCCAACTCTCTGCCAATCCATTTC